GTACAGTGGAAATGCACACGAGAAATGGTGGAAAGAAAATGAAGAAGTAGGAGAGAGCAGAAAAATTCAGTGTAATTTGAAATTTAGCAAGATACAGARTGACTAATAAAATTAACAAAATTTATTTCAGTTACATAAAATATATTTTCCTTTTATTCTTTTTTTTGTTTGTTTTTTAGTCAGCCATTATCTGACACCTTACAGTAGTTTCTCTTGTTAAGTGAACAATTCTCTACAAATTTGTATGAAAGGTAGCAYGACCTGCAGGAATGCACCTACTGTGCAATCTGGAACTCTTATTCTGTGGACTGATATTTACACATATATGCAAACCCTTTTGTTGATCTCTCTGCCTGTTCTGCTCCTACTTGCACACTTTTTGTAATACTGAGAACCTACAACAAAGGGACAAGGAAGTGAGCTGATATTTTTATACTTGGTATCCCGAAGCTGTGAAAGAGGTGTCCTCTTAAAACAATATTCTGTATACAGAGAATTTTCTTTTTCTTAAAGCATCTGCAGTACATTGGTTTCTCTGTGTTACTTTCAATGTCTTTTGGGTTGGGTTTGGTTTGGGGTATTTTAACTCTCCAGAAGTATTGTTGCCTTCTCATGGCTAGAAAGTAATCCTTTTGTTCCCAAGAGGATCAGTAGGCTGGAACAGACTGGATATGAGTTAATGCTGCCCCAGTTAGCATAAAACTGGAATTTTCTTGTAAGATTTGCTTTGTGGCTGTTTATCTGTGTCTAGCCATGAGTCCTTCTGGTTTCTTTGGCTCAGTTTCTCTTTGATAGTGATTTGTTTCTTGCTTTAGTGATCCCTCTGCAAAAAGTGGGAATGCTTCAAAGATTTATCTTTGAATCTATTTCAGTCCTTAAGAGCAGAAATTTATCTTACYATGGTTATTCTAATGAAGTAAGGTTGACTGCACAAATGTATAAAATATGAAAAAGTAGGATTCAGTCCATGTTTAGGAAAAAAATGCTTCATTTATTTTTATTCAATCACCCTCTTTAAATTCACAAACACTCTTGAATTGAACTGGCAGCTGGCAAATTATTGCCAAGTAAGTATTTAAATTGWGTATTTTCTTATTCACCTAATTTTGTTGTAAACACCAAAAGAAATTAATGACAAGTAATCCTCTTTTATCAACATGTGCATAGAAAAAAAAAATGCAATTAGAAAAGGAAAGAGAGTACAAGTAAGTCTCTTCCAGTGTTTGTCATTTCAAATACCTGTGCTCTTGCCAATTGTGAAGGTGAATCCTTCTTTCCACAATAAACAGTGGAGTCCCACACCAGGTGTGTTTCCCATGCATCAAACATTGCYTTAATGACAGCTGAGGTAATCTGGTATTGAATTGCTTACTTGTGTGCATTTCTCTGAGGCAGACAGTGTCTGATGTAGCAGGTCAGGACTCATTTTCAGTATGACACTGATATGATGCAACATGYCCTAGCCCCAGCTAGTGCTGAGGAATAGCTCCCACTACTTGAGACTGTGTGTATGCACAAATCAAGGGACAATGCAGAACTTGTCCTTCTAAGAAAACAGTTTATTTATTAAATCACAACTACAACAACAAAAAGGAATTTTTTTATTTTAGGTTCTTATGCTTATGACAATTTCTCAAACATTTTGTGAACATGGAATTTAGGAAACAATAGAAAGACATATCATTTGCATGAAACTAAAATGGGATCTGTCTGAGAAAATAATTAGGCTTGGAGGAGAGGTTTTCCTTTGCAGGATGTTTCTGRAAAGGAAAGAAAAATAGAGCAAATGGTTATGTAGGGCCTCATATTACAGTCTCTTGTCTCTGTCTAGAAATTGAATTAACCTCTCCTTSTGCATATTGTTTAAAATGGAGCTTAGGAAAGGCGACCCAGAGGTTAGGACTCTGAAGGTCTCATAATCAGAAATAGTAGCAGTGGTTTGTACACTGGCAGAAGGGACAACTTGTGACAAGAGAAAAGGAGGGGAAGAGGGGGAAGAGAAATGTTAATTTTGGCAGTAGAGCTGACAGAATAGATTTGTCTCCAAGGCAAATTGTTGTAAAAGTAGGCCAAAGGGGTCTGCTGAGTAAACAAATGGAAGTTTGTTAGCTCTTTTCAAAAATGATACTTTCCGTGTGCACTATCTAGGCAACTGAAGACAGAAAAGGAACTCGTTAGTATTTTAATTACAGAAGACAATTGCATATTGCTTTAATGCCACTATCAACTGGATTTTTTCCTTCGGGACTAAAACATCTATCATTCATAAACACAGAGAGTTTGTCTGCAATAATGATGTTATTAAGGAGAGTCCTGTTATGTGTAAACCTGCTAGGTTTCTGAACTCTTCATTCTGAAATAAGCATGACATTTGAAGTTTTACAATATAATGTTATCAAAAGGATGTTTTAAAACATWTTTTTTTGCTAATTACATAAAGTTTAGTATTTTTTAAAAAGAACAATAAAAGTCAGGCAGTTAATTCTAAAGACTCCTCACTGATGGTTATTTTACAGTATCATCCTGTAGTGTTGCATGCTTTTCCTGAATAGGTTAGGGAGAGTTCTGTAACTCCTTGGGGTTATTTTGGTTTTGGGGGGTAAAGCGAAGTCATCTTATAGGGAGGAAAAAAAAAGTTACATTGTGAAGTATTACTGGGATATAAATGCAGAAAGTCTCTCGCGAACATGTACAAATAAAAGGAAAAGTACCTTTTTTCCCAAAATTTTAAATATTTAAAAATTATTTTAAAAAATTCTGTTATCTCTTACTTTGCATTGACTATCCATAAATTTCTGAGATTATGCTTGTTAATTTAAAAAACCATACTACAGTAGAAAACTAAAGGTGTAGGGGAGAAGATCCCTTTCGAAGCTTTCTGTCAAGAATTGCTCATTTTGTCTTTATTCGCATTAGAGTGAGATTTAAATATTGGGGTGGCAGAGGAAGAAGAGGGAAAGGAGGGAAGAGAGAGGACATGGAAAAGCACAGATTAGGATTATGGGGTGAGAAGAAGGGAGAAAAGGGTGGYAAAGATCAGGGTGTGTTTGCAGGACTGGAGTAGGAATAACAGGATGGCAAAATTTGTTTTCAGGATATAGGGGTAATTTGAGAACAGGATGATTGCTCACTAATGATTTTCCTTAARTGACTCTCCAACCTACCTCCCCTCCATGCAAAAATGCTCAGCAGACCCTATAAACCAAGAATTATCCACTTCTCATACTCAGTGTGCTGCCAGAGATACAGATAAATCAGGGCATAACCTATGGGAATAAAACTATTTGCTATGAGGGGATGAAACAGAATAAAGGTGGGAACATGTACTTTCATGGCATCAATGTAGGCTGAGAACATAGACTAGATCTTAGCAGTTTACACTGGAAAATGCTTGATTGACCCGATGTAAACAAAATTATCTTATGCTTTTATCTACTTATAAGTCACCACAGATAAGTGTCAGTTTTGTCTGTACCTAAATCCAGCACTTTTGTTGGAGCAACATTTTTGATAATGGGATACGTATTACTTACATACATAAAAATCCARGCCTAGAAAAACAGTTTATGTTCTTGATCTAAGGCAAGAGTAAACCTGTTTAAAGCTTATCAATATGGAACCTGTGCCGTGGTATTATGTTAGGTTGACCAGGCACAATGGACAAAAATCACAGAATCACAGAATGGGTCAGGCTGGAAGGGTCCACAGTGGGTCATCTGGCTCAGCCTCCCTGCTCCAAYTGGGTTATTCCAGAGCACATGGCACAGGATTGCATCCAGACAGTTTCTGAGTATCTCCAGYAGGGGAGATTCCACAACCTCTCTGGGCAACCTCTTCTAGTGCTCTGTCACCCACACATCAAAGAAGTTCTTGATATTCTGGTGAAACTTCATGTGTATCAGTTGCCTATTGCCTCTTGTCCCGTTGCTTGGCAGCACTGAGCAGAAACTGGATTCATCCTTTTGATGGATCCTTCAGACACTTGTATATATTCATGAGGTCCCCTCTTAGTTGTCTCTTCTCAAGGCTGAACAGGCCCATCTCCTATTCTCATAAGAGAGATGCTCCAGTCCCTAAATCATCTTTGTTGCCCACTCAACAGAATGCTGGGTTCCTCTCATGCTGAGGAGCCCAGAACTGGACACAGCGCACCRGGGCTGAGCAGAGGGGCAGGATCAACTCCTTTGAGCTGCTGGAATGCTCATCCTAGTGCACCCCAGGACACCATTGGCCTCTTGGTCATAGCGTCACACTGCTGACTCACGGACAGCTTGTGTCCACCAGGTCCTTCTCCACAAACTTCCCAACAGCTCAGCCCCCAGCCTATGCTGGTGCCTGGGGTTGTTCGTCCCCAGGTGCAGGAGTCCACATTTGCTTGTGTTGCATTTCAGTCAGTTCCTCTCTGCCCATCTCTCCAACCTATCAAGGTCCCTCTAAGGGCTGCACAGTGCTTCGTCATCAGCCACCCCTCCCAGCTTTGTGTCATCRGTGAATTTGCTGAGGAGGCACCTTCTCCTCCAACCAAGTCATTGACGAATTATACTGGACCAAATATCATCTCTTGGGGGACACCACTAGTGACAGGCCTCCAACTAGACCCTGTGCCACTGAYTACAAATTCAGATATTCTGTGTGCAGAATCAGTGGACTTTGGGTAAATGGGAGTGATAAGTTATATTGAAATGTATTGGACTGTGATCAAAGCAAACAACAGAAGTTATGCATTAAAAATTCATTTACCAAAACCAGGACAGGAGGTAGATTTAAAATGTAGGTGTGTTGTGTACAATTTTAAGTGTTGTCCTTCCTTATATAAAAAGTTTATTCTAGCAAATTATTTCTTTGTGAATGCCTTTAAATACTTCAAAGCACCATGTGCTGATTTCAGTAGCAATTTAGATTTTTGTAAGAGAGTGTAATGTCTTCATGTGTGCAATGAGCCTGAACCAATCCTTTATATTCTTTTTTTCTTTGTCTTCCTAAATGTGTGTGGGCTGCAGATGGTTCTGTGAAGGAAAAGAACTCCAGAATTCCCCTGACATTCAGATCCATTCTGAAAGTGGAGGACTCCATTCACTAATTATAATAGAAGCCTTTGAAGACGACACTGGACGCTATACTTGTCTGGCTTCAAATTCTTTTGGTTCAGATAGCACATCAGCTGAAATATTCATTGAAGGTAAGAGGTAACATAATAAAATACTTGATGCATATAAGAAAAGATAACTCAGCTGAAGTTTACTTTTGGTTCTATATTTTAAGATTGCATTCAATATGGCAAAATTTGTATGGTATTCCTCTGCTTTCCTTTAACAAAGCACATTTTGAACATCCCATCATATTAGTTCAGGTATTTCAAAGAATGTGTCAGGAATCACTGAGTAGATTGCTCTTTATTTAGGATAGAAATGACATAAAGAATGGGGCATATCATTAGCTTTTAAGCAGTACCTCTGTAAATCACTAGTTAAAGATTTTACTAGTGGTAGCAATAATGATTTCATGACAGCAGTAACCCCCATCACAGTTCTGAACTGCCTCCCAGTGCAAATAAATGTGGCATACCCAAATGAGTCTTCTTCAGTCATGTGTAAATGTACTATAATCCTTTATCTTTGGTATACTAATTTTAAGTCAGATTATAAGCAGACATACTGTTGTTTTCTAGAAACAACTGCTAGTTATTGTCAAAATATTTCTTCACTGCAAAATTTGTCATAATTCAAGTATTATTTTCTCTGAGAAAAGTTAATGACCATGAGTAAATTTATTATTTTTAGCAGAAAATTGTATTTCAGGCAAGATTATCTTGATTGAATACTAATTTTTTTTAATTCATAAATCTTTCAAAAATTTGGGTAATATGCATTTTTTACCAGTTTTGTAACTGTTTAAAATTATTTTCAATTATAAACTGAAAGCATAAAATAAATTCATGTAATAGTCATAAGAAATCTGAATAATGACACTCCAAAATTATTAAATAGCTTTTGATTAATAAACAATAAACTTTTCACTGTAAATTAATTAAATCATTACATATTTGCCTTTATAAGATTTCTTTCATTATGYTTTTCATTTTCAGAACTTTTTTTGTGCCCCATTGGGATATAATAGCAAAATTCCCAATACTTTTCTGAATCTTACAGATTCTAGTAGGTGTTTTCTTTACAGAAGTAAACATGATTTCAGAAATACTCAGGTGTAGTAAAAATATATAATGCTGTGTGAAGTTATAAGGACAGAAACAGTTAAAGGAGAAAAATCTGGATAGAGAAGATACASTGAATCAAACAATTCATTTTTTGGTATCTGTCAAAGCCTGTGTTATTTGATCTTGTCTGTAGACAAGTGTGATTTGTATACGGAATTCCTGTCTTGAAGTTTTGTAACATGTTACCTGGAAAGAGAGAATTGTACAAGTAATTAGGCTCCTCCCCTATAATTTTTAAGGGAAACAGATTGAACAACTTGATGATGATGCATCATTCTTTTGTGCAGCAGGCCCAGCCACGCAAGACCTGGTTGTTCTGTGTTCTTAAGAAATCCTTTCATGTAGACCCACTTTAATGACTGCACATTTGCTTCTCTCTTCTCATCTGTTTTGTGTTACTTATTGTTTTGATATTTTTCACAGCATAAATTTTGTAAATAAGTAGGGTACTTGTCACAGCACTGCTTCACTAGAATCCATCTATGCTGTACTATGCATAATGTTTATGARGTGCTTATGATTTGAATTACACAAACAGCTATCAATATAGAKGGACAAATTCTTTGAAGAATAATATGTACTGCATAAATGTCTAGAATAAATGTGTGAARTATCTGTTGTTAGGGAAAATTGAGACAAAGGGAATAAATGTTTTTGTATTTTTTCCTTTAAGTAAGCCCAATGTATTGCCACATACATTATATCAAGACTTCCACTGGCAAGAAAAAGCAGTACATAAATGTTATGTGTAGATTAATGTAAATAGTCTGAAATGTGGAGATCATGAGCAGCAAGTTTAGTCTGMAAATGTCTTGGTATATTGAAGAAAGTTTGAAGATTTGTTATTTGTGTATAAGCTTAAGCTTCAAATTTAAAATTTAAGTAAATATAATTATATTTTTCCACTAGAGCAGTAGTAGTCAGCATTATTTTCTTCTGTCTTGGCCATATTTATTACAACATGAAAAAGAGAGCTAGGAGCCCAGGGAAAACAGTTTGCAATTAAATTGTCTTGGTTATGATTTCTGTAACTGTGTAAAGTACATAGTTAAAATCTTTATCAGATAAAAAAAACCTGCAGTAGTTTGTTACAAAGAGTTCTAAATTCTAGAAATGCAAAAGTATCACAGTTTTTTCTTTGGAATTTAAATATTAAATATATCAATAAAAATATATGAGATGATTGAAAAARATTTCTTTTCCAGGTGCCAGTTCTACAGATTCTGAGTGTGAAAGTTTAATTTTCAAATCAAAATCTGGAGCTATGCCACAGTAAGTGTGTAAAGCAGTATCAATATTGTGAAAATGTTAATAAGAGATACTGGAAAATCTTTGGTAGTTTGAAGATCTGAATAAGAATTTGGGGTACATTTGTGTATGTCTTTTCTTCTCTCATGTGATATGAATGTTTAGTATTATAACTGTAGGTCGTATTAATATACTTGTTCTATCAGAGAAGACTGGTCTTACCTTGGCAACTATTTTGTTGGTACCAACTTTTCATATTCAGAAGTAAATTCAAGTTAACCAAATTTTCACTTGTAATCACCCAATCCAGTGTCCTATTACTTGTTATTTGTGAGAAGATGCCAAYCCCYACCTCATTGAAAATTCCTTTCAGGTAGTTATAGAGAGAAATAACTTCCCCCAAGCCTCCATTTCTCATGACTAAACAACCACAGTTCTCTCAGCTGCTCCTCAYAGGATTTGTGCTCTAATAAGAAAGATGTAGAGGACTGCAATTAAATAAACAAAATGCATTTTAATTTTGTCTTAAACCAGTACKTTTTATTGTGTGAGGAAGTGTAAATTAGCCAAAGGTTGTGCTCTTCTCAAACTTTGCCCAATGATGATCCTTTCAGATGATAATGACATATTTAAATATGTAGAAAATACAAGGTGGCTCGTGTGTTAAAAACTACCACATTCTCATTTTAGATCTTATYAAGTGCTTGCTGGGGTTTTGTGTTTCAGGGCCCAAAAGAAAACCACTTCTGTTTCCTTGACAATAGGATCTTCTACACCAAAATCTGGAGTGACCACAGCTGTAATTCAACCTATCTCTGTGCCCAGTCAGCAGGTATTTTTAGACACCAACTTTTAAATTAGTGAAAGTATYTCAAATTTTCTTCCAAATTTTGCARCTCCTGAAAAACTCTGTATTTTTTAGGAATTATACTGTTAAATTATAAATTTACATTACTATATTAGCAATTATGACTTAAAAAAATTAAGTATATATCCACTGAGTGGACACAAAAATAAATGTACTTATGGTTTCTTACACAGTGAAAAAAAGCATGCAAGCAACAACAGATCTGGTGATGATGAAAATTACAGAGTTTGTCACTTAATAGTGACTTGTTCCAGACCCAAAAGACTGTAYTACAAATGAATGCCTGCAATCTTTTTTAGCAAAAGTTTTGAATTTTTTTATTAAATTTAATATTGCTGTCATTTCTTTGGGTCGTTTAGAGAAAAATTAATTTTACTATCGAAATGGTAAGTATAGAAAATTGATGTTCATTCATTTGTTCTTAAGTCTTTAATGCCACTGTGTCTGACTTAGAGTTTGCATATAAATCATAAAATACAAACCAAATAAAAATCTCTGTCAGCCTGTACATGGTAAATTCTTTTCCCTTCCTTAGGCTAACCTTGATAAGCTTTTAGGTACCTGAATTTATTTATCACTACATCAGTGAAGGGATGCAGTAGAAGGAGAAGCAAAAATGCTTCAGTGCAAGGGATTTAGCTGAAATCATATTAACAGGAATCAAGTTCTCAAAATACTTTGAGGCAAGGGCATTTGGATACAAAATTCTCATTGGAAATATAGATGACTTCAAAACTTGCATTTTGATTTCAGAAATATAACAGATGTGAAATAGTCATGTTGCCCAAAAACTGTGGCAACAGAGAACACCATAGACTGCACATGTGAGAGTTTGCATTTTTGCATGTACATGGAGGCTATCTCATTGAAACTAGTATTCTTTCCATTTTATAGCATTGTTGCATTGCTTTTCAGGTTCAAAGCCCTACTTCACACCTGCATCATCTGGATGGACCCAAGCCTATCTATTCTGCACCTATTTTTACAAAGGTATRTTTTATCCATCATGAATTTTATATCATACTTTTATAGTCCAAAAGAAAATATTAAAATGATGGTTTGATCATGTTCAAACTTTTCAGTATCAATGACTTCCTATGAAAATACTTTTCCACAACAACAATGAAGTTCCCTTGCATTCTAGCCTGTTAAAATCACATCAATTTACATCAATATCCTCTATGAGTTCGTCTTATGCCCATGACTGTTCTCCATTTTAAGTCTTTCTAAAATATAGCCAAGTAAGCACTAATTACATATCATAGTCTTGACAAAACCTCATCCACAATAATTTATCGACAGGCAAGGTCAAATAACATAGGCTTTTAAACTCTGATTTA